AAATCTCCATCAAAATAACTAGTAAAACGGTTTTGCAATTCAGAATAATCAGTTGACTATTCATGGATTATGTTGTTGAACCATTATTTAAACTTAGACCAAATGAAAGATAATCTAGTTAACTGTAATGTATAAGGAAAGCCTCTTGTAGTGTCAGTTACTATGTTAAGCCCATATGCTTTATTCTAGCTTTCGGACAAAGCAATCTATCATTTTGACCTTGTTAATTATTCGCTTATCAATCTTGACTGTTTTTATATGAGCGCGTAGGTGTGTGTACATTTCTTATCCCACTACTCAGCATATGTCTGCAACCTATTTTTGTGTAACTATGACTATTGATTAATGCTTGACTAAAGGGGATTTGGCTTACCCGCCATCTCCACTGCGCGTCGTTTCACTTCTCTCTATTCCATTCGCTTCATATACAAAATATATGTATCCAATACTCCATTCTTGTTATTTGACGTATTTATTTCCGTTATTGACTAACGCGATTTAAGTCAATAATTATATAAGAGAATAGGCGACATATATATTTCGACAACGGTCATTCATGCGATCTAATTGGAGTCAGATCTCGGGCCACTAAATTGGAGAGCCCGTCAACAAACATCATTCGATCTAAATGACGACAAAACAAAGGGCCCCAACAAACTGTAAAGGAGAGTATGGTAGAGTTTTGTAGCTCAGGTGGATGATTTCGGTGGAGTTTTGTTCTCTGAACTGGATGGTTTGGTCTTGGAGCTTTCATCGTCGAAATGCATGTGTTCAATGAATACGTGGTGTATAGCTTAGCTTGAAGAAATTTGAAAAGAATATCTCAAGTTTAACATGTACAATATTCAGTGTATTTGTTATGAATATAGTACATAAATTTCGATTACATCATCCAGGATATTCATCGAATCATTGACAGTAAAAGAAACATGTAAATTAATCAAGAAAATAGAGCTTAGTCTAATCTCTATCCTTACACAAACGATAACTACATTCAATGGACGAAACGGTTGTCTAGTGTTTCCAAGTTTTCATGGTAGTCTCTTACACATTAAACCAAATACCCGCTTTAAACATTGTTAATGTTGATTGGATGACCTATTCAGTATACAGTGAACCAAAGAACCATTTCCTTTATTTATATTTGATAATTTTGTTGTTTGATTTTATATTTCCTTGAAAAAAGCTTGGAACAGATTACTAAGCGAAACGTGAGACTTGAATGTCTCACATCAACTCAGTGCCCAAATACTATGAAACTATTCGATCAAACATAGACTCTGAGTGACATAGCACAGAATCGATCACAATGGCGTTGGTGTATACACTATCCATCTTCCCTTAAACTATGAAATTAACATTGCTTTATAACCTTATTTCTACGAACTAATTTCTTCTTCCTGTATTATATCCTTATATTCATTTTGTCTTTAAAATATTACCACCATTGATTTATCTACTTCTATGAATTTGCTGTCCCTCTTGTTGTGCTAATGAGATGTAATAACTTGGATTGATGTATATATGTGCGTGGTCCTACGTTGTAGATAACTGACTGATGTGAACAGGGAAACAAGAAGCCCTGACAAACGCGATGGCGTTTGAAGAGAACGGTATTAGGTTCAAGTCCTGGAGTGAACATCAACTCTGGGATGCAGATACATCCAGCTGACCAGTCCCAAATAGGATGGTTTGAATAAAAGTTTTTTTTGGTAAGCGTTTCTTTAGCGAGTTAGCTTTCTACAGGATGTGGTCGCTAACCCTATACTCAACTCTCCCCCCTTATTTTGGCTTGAGACTGGCAGTAGCTTCAGAGGAACTCCAGAGGAGTTGATGAACACAGTGGATCTGATGCAGATGTAAATGCGCGGATGGGCAAAGCAAGAGCAGCATATTTACGACTGAAGAAAATCTGCAACTCAAAACAACTGTCTACAAGCCAACACCAAAATCAGATACTTCAATACAAATGTCAACACAACCAGTTCTACTATATGGGGCGGAAACCTGGAGAACCACGAAAGCCATCATCCAGAAGATACAATTGTTTGTTAACAGTTATCTACGCATAATACTTCGGATCCGTTGGCTGGACACTGTTAGCAACAACCTACTATGGAAGAGAAAAAACCAGATTCGAGCGGAGGAATCTATGAAGAAGAAGTGCTGGAAGTGGATAGGACACATATTGAAGAAATCACTCAACTGAGTCACGAGGCAAGCTCTCACATGGAATCCTTAAAGCCAAATGAATGGAAGAGGAAAAGCAAAGAACACATTACTTTGAGAAATGGAGACAGATATGAAAAGAATAAACAGCAATTGGGTGGGACTAGAAAGGAATGTAGAGTGGAACAGAGTAAGTTGTAGAATGCTGTTCGGCGGCCTATGCTCCATTGGGGTTAACAGTCGTAAGTAATTAAGTAATTTCAATCAATTCGTGATACTGCTCAACCCATATCTTTTGCCTATAGGTGATAACAGTTTCACATCCAACAGGGCTGAACTTCAGTGATCACGACTTCTCACAACATCTCCAAGAGTTGCATAATTAGTGGTAGTGTACCTAAGATCAATTCATAATTTACACTATAAGGATTCTATAATCTTCCTAAATCCCACTATACTTGTATAACTATATTCGTCATTATTGTTATGATTATGATTTTTGAAAAACAATTATATAATTATGATATATATATTATTATTTATTTATTTAAGCACATAAATATTGGTACAAGGAGGCACCAAATACATATGCGCCACAAAAATCTCATTTGATTTGTGTGAGGGCTGTAATACTGCCCGGGTGCCCGAACCGAACCAGGTGGTATTCTTAGGGGGCTACACACGGAGCCTTCGACCTAATGGTCTGATCCACAAAGTAGTGGAGCATCGTAACGAGATGCAGTCCGATGGTAGCTGGTGACCAAACAAATAGGTTCATACACCATTTGTCCCCTCAGAGTACTGGAGCCTATGTGCACCATTGGTTTGGAACCAGAGTATTCCAACTCACCTAGGTGGACACTCCATGTGCAACAACCCGGTTAGAGCGCTGGACACCCTCACCACGAGAAGGCAGTGTGTAAGACTTCCCTGGTAGAGGCTATATACGCGTGGCCATGTGAGAGAATTTCTAGAGGGAGAGTGGACTCTCGCCAACCCCGGTCATACCATGGCATTTGGGGGCATATTATTGATTGTACAACTGTGAAAACGAATTCATCAAAAAAAGAAACGAACTCTTCGAAGAACCGATCTTTCTTATTAAAGTTTTATTTTAATTGTTTTCACCTATTTACACCTTATCATTTACTATTACTTAATTATTATCAGAAGCAATTTTTGTAGATAATCAAGTAATTTCAATAGTTCAGATCATCCGTCAAATGAAGCGAAACCACCATGGAAAACCTGATGACAATGGTGGATGTGTCGTTCAATTTTGTGGATTAGTTGAAGTTAGACAATAACACAATTGGGTGCCGGCTCAATGATCTAGAGTCTATTACGTAATTTTATCACTTCATCTACATACATGTTCACAGATGGAGTTACTTCTTAAATGTTATGGTGATTTGTAATTTGATGGTGTACATTGTGCACAATGTAAATGAAGTTAAGTACTTCAGTTGTTACAAGAGTCTTTTTATTTTTACAAATGTTTAGAGGGACAGTTCTAAGTGATTGCATAATATGATCTTAATTCTTTCATCATTTATATTCTAAACAACATACTTGTTATTGATGAGAAAACAATAAAACAATAGTTTGAATTGTTGAGGTCATGAGTCAATTGAAGCTAGACCACCGTGAAAAACCTGGAAGCAGTGGACAGCCGTTTTGTCCTACCGTGAGACTCCTCAGCAGTGCTCACCAACGATCACGTTTGCGGGGTTCGAAACCAGAGATTTCAGTCTCACGCACGATTTGTGTGGTAAGTATAGAAGGCTTACGGCCTATGCCAGTCCTGCCTTACAAAGCTTCTGTGAGTGTCTAGTCTTCTCTTGAAGGGTCAATTGAAGATGCGGATACCACTACTCCGATGAACAAGTTCCAAGCATTTAGTGATGCCACAAGTATTCAGAGTTTGAAATCGCCTTTACGCGTGACAAATTTATCATCGATGTATGCCAACTCAGTCAAAATGGAAGTCTGAAAACGAAGGGGTTCGAAGATATATTTGAAAGGCGATCGATATCGCGAGAAGCGTCTGATCTAAGCTGGTTACTGCCGGCTCTAGGAAATGCGTAGTGAAAAAGCCACAGGTATTCGGAGTTTGACAACGTTTTAACCGGTAACACCTTCTAATATGAATCGTGCCCACCAAGTGAAATAGAAAGACAGAAGCGAGGAGGTTCGAGGATATATTTGACAGACTAACAATTTATCGAGGATCGTCTGATCCAATCTGGCTGGCGATCGCAGCGGATGTTGAGCACGGCGTTCCCACTCGTGATCTGGTGCGGATGCATGACTGAACACCTTCAGCTAGATGAGTCCATTAAAATTAATGTGGTCAGCATCCAGTGTCGAAAACTTACGGAGCTATTTATTTTGGGGATTCATTTACCGCTACAGTAGCACGGAGTATTCACCCGTCTTCTGGTGATTGACCGAGTGCCTTCCGCCAGGTCATTCCAGCGAGACTAATGAATTCAGCATCATATGTCGAAGAATTACAGAACTATTTATTTTGAGGATTTATTCACCGCTATGCTAGCTAGCTGCATACTATTTTGTTCCCCGAATGAATCATTATTCCCTTTCACACAGTTTGGAGAAGCCATGTTGAAAATCATTTCCATCAGTTTTACGACTATACAGGTTCCACGGATGAAAGATTATTCCCTTTCACACAGTTTGGAGTAGTGATGTTAAAAATCCTATCCACCAGTTTTACGACTATACAGGTTAGACGAAATGGCTGATAATCACCGATTGAGTCTCTACAACTAAGCTCCGATTAATAAAAAGAGCTGATAATTGCGTCCTTCTAGTTTCTTGATAGTTAAGACTGTCTAAAACATATATGCATATTTGGCACAAAGTGGCCTTAATAGTTAATCAATCCCAAAAAATGACTGAATCATTTTAACATTATGGCAAGCTGGCACATTCACTATGGCATGTACCTTTTCAGGAACAGGTACAAGTCCATGAGAATCGATAATTGTTCCTAAAGATCGAATATTTAACAGAAAAACTGAACACTTTTCCACCTTTATACAAACACCATATTCTGTAATACGAGCACGAACGTCTTGTCAATGATAATAGTGTCGTTTTTCACTTATGTTGACAATATTATTATCAGAAATACATATGTCATGGCAAAAGGACATCGCTCAACATGTTGTCCATGTTCTGTTTAAAAATTAAAGGGGCACATTTTCCACGAAAAGGCAGTCCATTTTATATAAGAACAAGTACCGATGTGTGTTCACATGATTAAAAACATTCTGTTCATTTGAGAAACTGGATCACAATTAGTTACAGTTCAGTAGATAGAACAACAATCCACAAATCATTCTAATTTCATCGTGTTTTCTCAGAGTTTCGAATTGCATTGTAGAAATTGATTTCATCAAGGAATCGAGATTATTGACTACCATTAATGCAGACTTATCGGTTAACATTGCAAAAAGGGTTAAAGGTGATAGACAACCGTTCTGATTCGAAGGAACACCTAAGTATCAACATATGCTTACACTTACCTAATGCACCATTTCATATGTATGTTAAACGTTTCTTTAGCTTATAAGAAGATAAAAAGAGAATGATAAGTTGATACAAGACAGTCAACTGTCCCTCAATATGAAATGTAAATTCTAGAAAAACAATCCACACACAAAACCTAAAAGGTCGTACCATAATTATAACAGTAATCTTAAACTATATCCTCCTAGCTCAGTAACAAATACTTCTCATCAATATATAAATGAACTTATTCAGTGATCATGAATACTTGCTTTCTGTTACCATGGAGTGGAATCGTTGTAGTCTTCATTTTCATAAAAAGACTGCTCATTTACACAGACTGTTTTCCAACTGGTTAAGAACTGATGATAAACTTAACGTGATTACTCTGGGCACATTCCTGTGATATACTATCATTGAACGATCGATTTATTTTCTGTAATAAAATAAAATATTTTGAAGTATGTTTTCATTTATAAAACTCTGCCTGTAGCTCTTCCAGAGTTACTGCCGGTCTCAAGCCCGGGTAAAGTGGGAGGGTTGGGCATGGGGTTAGCGTCCCCATCCAGTAGAAACCTAACTCGCTAAAAAAACGCTAACCAGAAAAAATAACTCAAACCATTTAAACTCTGCCCTGGTAGTTAGAGGTAATATGACGCCTCATGGTGAAAGCCGAGTTCCTTCGGAAGCCACGAGGCCGATGCCCCTTCTAACAACCAGAGCAACAATTTTTATAGGTACATGGAACGTCCGGACAATGTGGGAGAACGGGAAGACCAGTCAAATAGCAACGGAAATGAGGAGGTACAACTTGGCAGTACTGGGAATCAGTGAAACCCATTGGACCCAAGCTGGACAACAAAGGCTAAATACGGGAGAGATGCTGCTATACTCCGGTCACGAAGAGGAAAATGATCCACACACTCAGGGAGTTGCTCTAATGCTATCCAAAGTAGCACGAAATGCACTTGTAGGATGGGAATCTCACGAATCCAGAATCATCAAAGCATCATTCAAAACAAAGAAGGAGGGGATCACAATGAACATTATCCAATGTTATGCACCCACCAATGATAGCAACGACGACGTTAAAGATCAATTCTATGAGAGGCTGCAATCAATCATAGAGAAGTGCCCAAGAAAGGACCTCACCATTCTGATGGGAGATCTAGACGCCAAAGTCGGAATGGACAACACCGGATATGAAGACATCATGGGACTACATGGACTGGGAGAGAGAAACGAAAACGGGGAAAGATTTACAAATCTGTGTGCATTCAATAAATTGGTCATAGGCGGTACAACATTTCCACACAAACGTATACACAAAACTACGTGGATCTCACTGTACCACACCACAGAGAACCAGATAGATCACATTTGCATCAATAAAAAGTTCCGAAGGTTAATGGAAGATGTGAAAACCAGGAGAGGAGCGGACATAGCTTCAGATCATCACCTAGTTGTGGCCAAATTGAAACTGAAGCTAAAGAAGAACTGGATAACTGGACAAACAGCATCACAAAGGTTCAATACAGCCTTCCTTCGAGATACTGACAAACTCAATGAATTCAAGGTAGCTCTCAACAACAGGTTCCAAGCCTTACAGGATCTACTGAACGAAGAAGAAACTACTATGGAGGATAGCTGGAAAGGTATCAAAGAAACATTAACTTCAACGTGTCAAGAGGTTCTGGGCCCCAAGAAGCATCATCACAAGGAATGGATCTCTACAGAAACACTGGACAGGATCAAAGAAAGAAAGAACAAGAAGACAGCAATTAACAACAGTCGAACAAGAGCAGAGAATGTCCAAGCACAAGCAGAGTACATAGAAGCAAACAAGAAAGTGAAGAAGAGCATTAGAGCTGATAAGCAAAAATACGTGGAAGAACTAGCAACGACGGCGGAAAAAGCTGCAAGAGAAGGAAATGTGAGACAGCTTTACGATACGACGAAGAAGCTTGCAGAGAAATACAGTAAACCAGAGAGACCAGTCAAAGACAAAGAAGGAAGACCAATCACTGAGATTCAACAACAGCGCAACAGATGGGCAGAGTACTTCGAGGAACTCCTGAACAGGCCGGCTCCAATTAATCCACCGGACATCAAAGCAGCACACACAGATCTTCCTATAAATGTCAATCCACCAACGAAAGAAGAAATCAGAATGGCCATCAGACAAATCAAGAGCGGGAAAGCAGCAGGACCTGACAATATACCAGCTGAAGCACTGAAGTCAGACATCGAAGTATCTACAAGCATGCTTCATCTTCTATTCAAGAAGATTTGGGAGGAGGAACAAGTGCCGATGGATTGGAAAGAAGGACAGCTCGTCAAGATTCTAAAGAAAGGAGATCTGAGCAAGTGTGAAAACTACAGAGGCATTACACTACTCTCAATACCGGGTAAAGTCTTCAACAGAGTGTTACTGAACAGGATGAAAGACGCAGTTGACGCTCAACTTCGAGATCAACAAGCTGGATTCCGTAAGGACCGGTCGTGCACAGACCAGATTGCGACACTACGGATCATCGTCGAACAATCAATTGAGTGGAACTCGTCACTCTACATCAACTTCATTGATTATGAGAAGGCATTTGACAGTGTGGATAGGAGAACGTTATGGAAACTTCTTCGACACTACGGAGTTCCTGAGAAGATTGTCAACATTATCCGGAACTCATACGATGGACTACAGTGCAAAGTAGTGCATGGAGGACAGCTGACAGACGCATTCCAAGTAAGGACCGGAGTAAGACAAGGCTGTCTACTCTCTCCCTTCCTGTTTCTTCTGGTGGTCGACTGGATTATGAAGACCTCGACATCTGAGGGAAACTACGGCATACGATGGACAGCTTAGAACCAATTAGACGACTTGGACTTCGCAGATGACCTAGCCCTCCTATCACATACACACGAACAAATGCAGATAAAGACAGCCAGCATGGCAGCAGTCTCTGCATCAGTAGGCCTCAACATACACAAAGGGAAAACCAAGGTCCTCAAATATAACACGGAGAACAGCAATCCAATCACTCTTGATGGCAAAACTCTGGAAGACGTGGAATCCTTCACATACCTGGGAAGCATCATCGATAAACAAGGAGGTTCAGATGCAGACGTCAAGGCGAGGATTGGCAAAGCTAGAGCGGCATTCCTTCAACTGAAGAACATATGGAGCTCAAAACAACTTTCAACTAATTTCAAAGTCAGAATCTTCAATACGAACGTCAAGGCAGTTCTACTGTACGGAGCTGAAACTTGGAGAACTACAACAACCACCATCAAGAAGGTACAGGTATTTATCAATAGCTGTCTACGCATGATACTCAATATCCATTGGCCGGATACCAACAGCAACAGCTTTTGTGGGAGAGAAACAAATAGCTTCCAGCTGAAGAGGAAATTAGGAAAAGACGATGGAAATGGATAGGACATACATTGAGGAAATCATCAAACTGCATTACGAGACAAGCGCTAACTTGGAATCCTGAAGGGAAGCGGAAAAGAGGGAGGCCAAAGAACACATCACGTCGGGAAATAGAAGCAGATATGAAAGCGATGAATAAGAAGTTGAAAGAGCTGGAAAGGATTGCTCAGGACAGGGTTGGATGGAGAATGCTGGTGAGCGGCCTATGCTCCTTCACGAGGAGTAACAGGCTTAAGTAAGTAAGTAAGTTTCATTTATAAGCATAGAAGGATAGTGGATAGCAGCGTAATCCACGATGTGCGTTTCGCTCTATTTGTGACTCGTCAGCTGGATAAATCTTCATCCCAGACTTGATGTTCACTCCGGAACTCGAACGCTGTACCGCTCACTTCAAACACCATCGCGTTATCTACCTAGCTACTGAGGCCTTATAAACACTTGTTTGTGCAACGGAATGAAGTTTTGAATTCATTTTGTCTTGTTTATATGAATCTTCTAATTAATGTTTAAGGCTACGATTGATCAGTTTTTCATTGGAATCTTAGAGTAAACATCAACTCTGAGATGTAGGTACATCCAGTTGACGAGTTTCCAAATAGGACGAAACGTGCGTCAAACTGGATTCCACTGCTAACCACTATCCATCTTTGCTAATAATGGAAACAATTTATACGAATGATTTCACAATTCTTCAATCACCTCATTTAATTAAGAGGCTTCCAGATTCTCAATGGTGGTCTGACATTCATCGATTCTTGATCTCAGTCAATAAGTTGACAGTCTCTATAATCCTCCATTGAACTGACCAAATTATTTACTATCATACAATAGTTAATCACTACTTTGATTTCAGTCAATACTCTTAATAGTTCATTCTTTTCATTTTTAAGAACGTGAAAAGTAAATAATTCCTTGATTAAACGACCACTAAACTCATCTGAATTCTGATGGCAAATAGTCACAGTGTTCAATCACACCTCGAGCAATTCCTTCTATGAATTGACAGCCAAATGACTAGTTTTCATTAAATTTTATATTTAGAAAGGTGACAATCTTTTGTAAAAATGAGATTTTCACTCATTTAAGTTAAGACAATGTATGTAGGTGAAGGTCAGTCACATAAGAACATCATTGGAATGCGATCAGTTCTATTCTAACTTAGATTCATATTACGCCCACTATACAGCACTATACAGTAAAGAGAATACCATATTGTTTGATTAGTGAGATAGAATGTGGTGATAGACCACAACAAAGTATAATCAATGATGTTTCTATAGACAACTGAGGTCAACAGAAATATGCTTGTTAAGTAAACGCTCAAATAATTTACACTGAGAATAGAAAATAGTAAATTTTACTTTGAAAATTTTATAGAAAGTAACGGGAGTGATGGAACGTGGTTTTATGTGTATCCTCAATCAGTTTAATCGAACAGAATTCTCAATTTATCAAATCTTATTCTTAAATGCAAACGATTTAAAAGTAAGTGGTGATTGTATAAACTAATTGTTCCTTTTTACTTGATGACTGCCTGATTTCGTATTTTGAGTACAATAGGTTCGTCTGTACTCACGAAATTGTGTTTGGTTTAAGTTGCATTATTGTGTAGACTTCTAGTTCGTATAATAATTAAAATACTTGTAATCATCACATTGATGTCGCTATAGTGCCTGTGATGAACCGTTGGATATGTATTCAAATTACGATGATTTTGAGGAATATATGGAGAGGTTGGAATTTTGGACTGTGGCCAAGGATGATGCAGTGAATTTTATTATTGTAGCACATTTCCTTACATTCATCGGAAAAGAAGCCTACAGCTTAATATAAAGTTTGACATTTCCATAAAGGTGTATCTGGCTTCCTTATTCAATCCTCAAGGAATTCCTAATAGATCATGTAACGTGTATAAAGTTTGAGTGCTGTTAAAGAGGGAAATTTCATAAAATGATTTGTCAGGACATTATGAATCCCACTACATTACTACAATATACCAATCCAATGTCGACTCTAAGTTATACAGATAACAATTCATTGAACACAGTTTCGGTTGCCGATTGTTCTGTTTTACATTTCACTCATTTCATGCCTGTGTATTATATATAGTGCTAGGTGCTTTAAATGTCGTGGAGTTGCACAGACGTTTTTTTGAAACTACTTCCCACTTCACTACAAGTAATAATTTGCTTCATGATTCCGATCGCATTACGTTGAATGCTTCCGATGATCATTTATCTTCTTCCATGATTTCGAAAAGTGGTATAGGGTCATATCACACCCTTGAGTTAAATGACAGTCAGAATCATTGGGAAACAGAGTTTCTAACCAATCAAGTTCTTATTGGATTTTTCAAGTTATTGTATCAAATATCGTTTGTTCAAATGATTCACATATGTCTATTGATTTTTCTCACAAATCTGAGGAATGTATGTTGAATGAATCAAATCATGATCGAAAATCCGATGCAGATTTGATAGATCTTGATTACGTTTAATGACAAATTTGGGGAAAATACTTCAGACGAATGTTATTTGTCCTTTTAATGCATCTGTTTCTCATTGGAAAATCGTTAAACGCGCAGCTCAAGTACTAAATGAGTTCGATTTTGATTACAATTCGGATGATTTCATATCAAGTGTTGTTTATACGTATCATGAAATCACTTCTACTGAATCCTCTGAATAATGTGAGAAATATGTTTGAACTGAATTCACATCACTAAGAAACTGGGGATCCGATATTATTTGGTGGTAGAGGTTGGTGTTGAAAAATCTACGGTTAGACTTCTGAATGTCATTGATTTTGATACACAACCGAAATGTTGATTATGTACAGTTCAGTGACTCAGTTAAGTCCGTTCCAATTTCAGTTGTTAATCCAAAAATTGATGGGGAAGTTGTAGATCACACCAAGTCTCTGTCCAATACACAGTTTGACAGAAATACATCAAAGCCAGCCAGAAGACAATAAACTGATTGTAGAAATTTCGATTTCGAATAAGTTGTGGTGATTGCAGTGTCCATATGAACTAATGACTCTTTTGTACTTGATGACTGCCTCATTTTGAATTGCGAATGCAATAAGTTCGTCTGTGCTCACTCACTTGTGTTTGGTACAATTTGCGTGATTTTGGGGATTGTTAGTTAGAATAACTATTGAACAACTTCAAATTATTACACGACCTTTTCAACATTAGGCAAATTAGAGAAAATCGAATAAACGTAATGCATCTTTCCGTTGTGGAATTTCATTTCCATGGCTGTGCAACCGTTCTCATGGCTGTGCTTCACAATGTAGGTTGGCATGAATTACACTTGTGTGAGATAATTGACTAAATGCTGAATATTGAGATGGTGATAGAGACTTCCACTCGTTGACCATGTTTGCATTTGATCTTCGGTCAAATTTAATTAGAGCGAGTTACAGTTATAGCCGGTTGGAATGCAGAAATCAGTCTTCGGTTGACGAGTGGATAATTCCACCGAATCAAACTGAATCGGTTGATATTGTGAAATGAATGCAAAATTCAGTTGGATTGACAGGAGTCAAAATGAACTGAATGACACGCTCGTTTGGAAATTATATTTTACGCGAATGAATGAGGATAATGATCGGCTTTGATTGTTTCGAGGTAATCAGAACACATCATGGAAAGCATTCACCAGGGAAATGAACGCTAATGGATGGAAGTGAGCTCATCAACACAATCACACCATATGACAACAAATTCACTAGCAGCAACATTGCAATTTCCGAGGTAGATCAATTACTATGAACCATTTATCCCGAAGTGTGTGTGAGTAGAAGCTTAAATAAGATTTGAGATCGTTATGCAATCGTTGAGCATAAATATCGTTTAATTTGATGAAATGGCGATTCAGCCTTATCCGATTTTTCACTTTTCATTCGCCTTGCAATTCCAGTAGTTCTCTCTCAAATTATATAATTCTCCAGCGATTTAACAAATAGTCGAAATTTGCATGTAGCTGTCATAGACGATTACCGCGAATAGCTGTTGCAGTAACGAAAATGCTTTAGTACTCGGAACACTTCTTACGCTCAGTACATCTTATTAGAAATGTTTTGTATGTGTCTTCGTTTTCACAAGATTATATGTCAATGATCGAAGTGCCAGATGTCACATTCCAATAATGTGTTGAAGATCGATTACTACTGTTGACGCTCTGTTTAGTAGACTAAGAAGGAACAGTATACTGTCTCATTAGGTTTTGTTTTACTATGTTCAAAATCGTTACCCTTGTTCATTGACTAATCTAGATTGAAGTAGGACTACACCAACTGTCGTCAGCTAGGCTAGACTGAAACTCGAATGATCTGAAAACATTGATTTCTAAATCAAATAATTTGATTAGAAATTAACTCCTTCCTATTCAGTTTCAAATGAACTGGACTGCTAGTTGATTCGGGAGTTAGGTTCAAGTTACCAGAGTTTGAATTTCAGTGATTTATCAAGTGATCATGATTGAGTTTGACATATTAACCTATAATCACTTAAAAATCAACCGATGAGTGGCTCGCACCCAAGCACCAAAATCTTGTACATGGTTACTGTATCGACTTCTTCGATTCAGCCAGTCGGTCAAGTGTAACGTAAATCCGGTTCAATTTGCCATTACCTTGTGAATGCAGCGAAATGAAATTTTCTGGGCAAGTCCAAGAGCAGTAGAGATAGTAACAGTAATAGTGGCAATACAAAAGACTAGGCATTGAAAAAATGATTCAAATTATCGAAGTAAGAAGATTGATAAGGAATTTAGAAACTTCGCATCTAAGGGAGGACAAAGAGTGGATGTACATGCATCATTCCAAACGATTTTGAACCATGTCACTTAGAAACTTGAACCATTGGTTACGATAATAACAACGCTTCAAACTGGATAGCCTACGCCTCAATTCAACCGTCAGTAACTTCATGCATTGATGCCGTGTTTTACTTCACCTCACTAGTTTTCTTCTGACCTACTCCTACACCGAACTACATCGCCCGTTAAGGTAGACGGGTGTTGGGCATACATAACACATGCTTCAATAACCTCGATGAACATTTACTACCTCATCAATCGATTTCCCATATTTCCCTGATACTCTCTTCCAAACCCAGGGATTGTTTACTTGATGGTGCAAGAATACACAAACAATGCTTCGAAGACATCTATGATCGGACACTAATAACCTACGAATATCCTCTATTCTTAATGGCCATGTTTCACAACCATGAAGTAGAACAGAGCGAACTGTTGCGCAGTAAACTCTCCCTTTGTTTTGGGGACGGATATCTCACCTACACTACAAGGGACATATGCTGGAAAAAGCCAACCGAGCCTTCTGAATCCGATTTCGTCGAACGCCAGACCATCAGGAATGATGGGACTCTCAAGATAAGTGAAGCAGTCGACAAGTTCAACTACTTCACTTCCTAACATTAATTCAGACCCTGAAATAAGCCAGTCCTGAAGCAATATACTGCATTTGGAGGGAAAGACTCGCATCCCAAACATCCTTGCACTGCTACTTAAGGTGGTCAGAGGACTTATGGTTGTTTCACCAAAGACTCCCACCCGCAGCAAAACCAGGGCAACATAGGGTGAGTGAGATATACCGCTTCCAATGACCCAAAGAATATACTTACGGAGAGTCCATGTGCTTAGCAGAAGTCAGTTA